CAAAAATTGACACTTTTTCAACTTATGTCGTCATTGCCCACGGACGCTATCTAAGCCGATGAAGTTCCCCAATAAATGACGCAAACATTGATATAGTCAGTATCTACACTTGGAAGTGCCTCAATCATTTACTTCTGTAGTTCAAAGTACAAATCTGTTAAGTTAAGAAATTGAAATTAACAACTAAAAGATACACTAATTAAAATATGAGACGAAGATTCTTACAGCAGATCATAAACCAAAATTTAGTGCTATTTCTTCTCATTGTTTTTTATTTTGATATAGAATTTGTTGAATATAAGCAGCAAAAAATTTTTATATAATAACTCCAAAGTCCAACAGTCAAAAGAATGATATGTAATGAAGATGGCTAAAATTAGTATTGGCAATCTTTTTAAGAGTTTACAAATAGTCAGATACCATTCAGAAGATTGGTAGCTGTAGTCAATATGTCCTAATCAGACGCAATGATTTTCAAGCATATTCATTTCGGCTCAACGTTATCTGACTTTATAGCTTTAAAAAATCAGCTACTTTGCTTCTAAGATATGTCGTTGACCATTCGTCGCACAGAAAAGTTGCGTATTTGCAGTATGCTTAAAGTTTTAGCACAAATGTTCTGATGATGGAGATTTCAGTTACCTTTCTAGTCTAGTTATCTTAATTTTCTGAAGACTGACTGTTTATTTACTTTTATTATTAAGGTGTCCGATACACAAGTCGATTGTGAACATACAGTACAGTTCATTATTATTTTTTTTTGTTAAGGTTTTTTAACTCTTCAAAATTTTTGTCACTGAACGGTATTTCTTTGTTTTCATCTTCACATAATTGTTTTGGGTAAGTAAATGAAAAATCTGCGAATATTAAAGCAACTTTTTTGAATTACAGAAATAATTTATTGAATTTGGTTTTTTTTCTGTTAGTGTTTCTAAGTAGCTGTTCAACAGTTCAGATGTTTAGAACCAGCAATTTTCGAAAAAATCAGGAAAGATTTTCGCTATTCCTACTACCATCTTTCTGCTGCTATCTGTCATTAATTCAGTAGGTATTTTTCTTGCACTAAAATAATTATTTTTACTCTAGCTATACAAAATCTTGCTAACCGTCAAAAAAAAAAAAAAAAAAACTGTACTATTTTCTGTGGGAAAAAAATTTGTAGTGCAAAAAATGTTAGAAACAACCTAACTTTATTAATACATACGAGTGCTTTGAATGTTACAAATTAGAATCAACATAAGAAAAAATCATCTTTTTCTTTTGTAAAAAAAAAATCTGCAATAGGCTTGAAAAGGTTTATTTCAAAAACTTTGTTCATCATTCAGAAATGCAGTTCGAACAGATGTATCTTGAAAATAATGAAGAGATACATAAATAAATATTTAGTAACCAAGGAATAAAATCTGTAATGACAAATAAATTTGTTAAAAAGGTGTTACTCTGCTTAATTTGGCCATTTTATGCAAAAATCAGAGTTGTTCATGTTCTCGATAACAAAAACCTCCACTTTTCTACAACACATCATTCCTTATCACCATACAAAATTGTTGGATAAGTAAAAAGTGTTACAGCATATCAAATACACTGTTAAAAATTTAAAAGTTATCGTTTTAAAACGACGCTGTGCGAACTAGAACTTACAAATGAAGAGAAGTAAGCCTACAGCCAGCTTACTTCTCTTCAATTTTCTTGTTTTTGACCACCAGAAGTATCATCCCACCTAAACACAAGCTGTGAAATCCAACAAAAGCAAAACTATAATAATTATCTTACAACTGTCGCCTAGTGAAAAAAAAAAAACCACCGATATGCTTCTGTGATCACAAGTATTTTTTCTGTATTACAACAACTGAAAACCCTCGTTATGTACTTGAAGAGTTTTTTTATTCATTTTGGCAGTTTCCCGTCAGTTTTTTACCGTTCCATTCATTTTTTACTGCCTTTTGGATTTTTTTTATAAGCAGAAATAATCGTACTTTGAAAAGATAATAACAAAAACTGTCTGTATTCACTTTTTTTTTGGTCAGCTCATAATGAACTGGTTACACAGTTTTCGGTATAAAAGCTCATAAAATTTGTTCCCCCAGAATTACTTTAATTTGTATCAAATTTGGCAATTGCATTTCTTCATTAAGGCAACATTTATTTTAAATTATTTAAACCATATTAGTTGACAGTCCTAAAACGTGTGTGAATGTTTCTATTTGCTTCTTCTGTGTTTTGATATACTACTAACTAGACAAAGAATTATCTGGCTACCTTTAAAAAACTTTTATATATTTTGGCTATAGCAAACTGCTGAGATAGGCCGACGCTGAAGCAGCACTATTTTCAGTGAGATCACCATGTTCACTGTTGCGATAGTTCTATGTCTTCTGACTGCACATTCCTATGGAACAACAACGCCATGTCCCGCAGCAACGGCTAAAGCTTGTGCAGATGAGGGTGGCACAGTGTGTACAACGCTTTTCCCAGCACCAGCTGGAGGGTGAGTTGCCGTGATACCGTAATTGAGACTAACATATAAACCACGCTGGTAGTTTCCTTAGCTTGTGAAAGCTCGCTTATAAAACTCGAGTATAGGCGCGTTCAAAGTCCAAAAACGTAGTTTTTCGATGACTGTTTTTACTCGCAACATTTATACTGCACTTCTTTACTAACACGGTATTAGCGTCACAGAGTACCTATGCTGCAGGGCGGCTACAACGCCTACACAGTGTTCAACTGCAGATCACGCAACTTTCGTTCCCCTATGTCGTAAAACTTGCGAACGATGTTGCGACGACTCACGTTACAACTGCGAGGATGATACCAGCTGTAAGCGTTTCCTAGTCATATAGAATTTGTCTGTTCTGGTATTCTTTTTATCCGTCCTTTTCTTATTTCCTACTGTCTTCACTGCCACTGGTTTCTAACGGCTTGCCATTTAGATCCGCTTATCAATTGTACTGCAATTCAGTCCCAAAGCCTTTGTGGTGTAGCATCGTTGAAGACCATTATTGTGCAGTACTGTCCTGCGACATGTGGCATGTGCAACGAAACGGGAACTGCTGGGGTTTGCAAGGATGAGAATGCAGCTGTGTGTGACGTTATGAAACTGCTTTGTCACGATTCTTCTAAGAAAGCGACTTTATTGACAACTTGTCCAAAGACCTGCAATTGGTGTAATGAAGTTGCGGCATTGACAACTACGACAAGTGAATGAATTTTCATTTACGTCTATAATCTTCAACGAAGTATTGCAATTTGGATTTTCAGAAATAAGCATTTTGTTTGTGAAGTTTAGCGAAATGGCTTCTGATAAGGGAAACAGTTCTCAAAATGACTGATTTTACAGCTTCTTCTTCGTGTACTGACGTCGCATCAGACTGTGCTGCAAAGTCATCTCTGTGCAACAACAGTGTTTATTATAGTCTCATGAGGCAACAATGCGCAAAAACATGCAAATTTTGTTAATAGGCTTGGAGAAGTAACGTTTACACATAAGGCATTTTTATTGTCTTTACTTTAAACTTTTTGTTAAACGAGAAAGGCGTTGGGTGAACTGTAAGTTGCCAAGGAATTCATTTTTCGGAACTTCCGACTAAAACTTTCTCGAACTTTGTTAAAAAAATCATTATCATTACTTGCAGAGTTTTATATTGGACGGTACTAATTTTTTTTCTAATTTTAGGTTTTTCTTGCTGCGGTTTCGTGACATCTCCTACACCTTGAATTTTAAAGTATTTATGCAGTGTAATCAATAAAAGTTTATGGACTGAATCCTCCTACTTTCCTTAAAAACGCAGGTAAAAAAGCTCGTGACGCTAGTAAAAAAGACCTATAATTTGCAAAGTGCCAGCTAAACTTAAATTACTTTGCGGTTTTAAGCAGCCTAATCTTATCAGTAACTTAACTTCGCTGGTTCTTCAACAACCGCTGCAGTAAACTATGCCAGTATTAGTATCATTTGAGGTTGCTTCTTGCTAATTGTCAGTAGCTTTCAGTAAGACTAGAATTTTACATCTGCGGGTTTCCGCTTTCAGTAAACCACATGAATTAAAAACCCTCTTCTTTTATTTCATTTGAAACTCAGATGCTCTAATAGCCATTCACTCAGCAGTTTTAGCCTGAAACTGTGGCTTGTTAACATATTTAAAGAACAAGAAGTTAAAATATTTAGAGGGTAAGAAGAGTAAGAAAAAAAATGCTGATAAAAGAGCCTATTATTTAAAAGCAGATTATTAAATGACAAAGAACGGTTATATGTATGGATGACTAGCAAAAGTTCGAACTATTACACTGTGCTAGTGGTTTTGAAAGCGTCTTTCACCAAACCATACTGCGGCCAAATACCATGTAAGTCTAAAAAAAACACTTTCGCACAAAGAAAGTGATGCCAGTTTGCCAGTAGTTTACCTCGCTCATTCACTTTTTGTAAATGCTTTAAACGTCGAAGCACTGAGGAAGTGGTTTCATATGTAAACTTAAGTATATATAATCTTCTTATTACACTTTACTCAGTTATTGATAGAATAGCAACCACTGCTTTGCCATAAAACCGAAATTACAAAGTCTTCAAATGGCTTGAAAGAGAAAGATATTAGTGACACTCACGAAACCTCTGATCTGAGGCACCATTTGTGCGGTCAGATGTTGTATGTCGTAAACCTTGGAGTACCCTTTAAAACGACATCACAACTGGTGCGACGGTTGCAGCTAGCTCTGAAACATAAAGAAATATTATTTTCAACTTTAAATGTTTTATCCAGCCATAATTGTAACTGCTTTCTTATCAAACTAAAATAATAGATACTATTATGGTGAAATGAGGCTATTCAAATTACAGCTCTTGCTATCTTTTCTAAAAGTGTTTCTGCCTGCTATCGTCGTGAATATACATTATGCCGTTACGCCGTAAAGGGCTTTTGGTGATTTTTATCGCTATTCGTATAACACTGCGCAAAACGGTCTCCACCCTCCTCATAATTCTTGACAACTTTTCTTCCATGATTTAAATGAAAGCAATTTTTTTTAACAATCCTCTACGCAGCGATTTTTGATAATACGCTGCAAGAATTCTCTTAGTATTCTGTAGTCTTAAACATGAATAATCTAAAATTAAATTTTAGCTTTGGAGTGATTCTTTTAAGACGGAACAGAAACTTCCCTATACCAAGAAGGAACATGACTATCAAAAATATTCGATTGTGAATAGTTTACTTCTCGGTAAAGTGTTGGTAAAGTGTTGTAAAGTGTTCTCAAAGAACTCCTTTAATCTATTTCATTCAGAGTGAACTGAGCGTAAAACGTTTACTTATTTCAACTGTTTGCGGAAGTCCCCTTACTGTCAACTGTTGTTGAGGAATGGCATTTCCCAGCATTGGAACTGCTCTTTTCACTTCTTCATCAGAATGTCTCAATTTGAGAGCCACTTTCTTGAAACAGATGCTAAACTAAAATTGGTGGTTGCAAAAATTTGATAGCGCTAACACTTCAGAATATAAAAAACTGTTGTTCCAAGTTCTAGTGAAAGAAAACTGTGACTAGAGTTGCAGGACGCACTGAAGAATTTTTAATGGCAGTAACAGAGGAAGATAAAAAATTTTAACTGCAGTTTAAAATCTAAATTTTTAAATGCGTCTAGAAGTGTGCGTCAGTCTTTCGGGGTCCGTATAATTGAATTCGTAAAAGACAATAAGATACAATTTTCAAGCCCAACAAATTTACAAGTAAACATAAAAAAGAAGCTAAATCTAATTGAGTTTTCTCAAAGCAATTTTTCTTTTGGAATTAACAATGGAAGTTTATACGTATAAGAACACTTCTAAAAGCCACTTCTGAGAATCTCCAAAACGATGTGGGAGGAAAAATAATGCTTGTAGGCACAAAAATATCAGCTCGTTTATATCCGTAAGTTTGGCCAGTTATTAGGCTCTAGTCCCACAATAAGCATGAATCTAACTGAGTCTAACAGCTTTATCGCTCTCCCCCC